TGTTTTCATGTATAATTGAGTATGATCGAATCGAGGATAAGATTGCGTTATTCACGAAAGAGATTGAAGTTTGATTTTTTTATTTCATATACTAACAAATATCCATCTTATAAGTTTATTAAATCCATCATTTAAATTAGCTTCTTCTTTTTTTTAAAAAAAAAAACCATGTATCTAAATGGGGATTTTTTGGTTGGAAAACAAAAAACAAAGTGTGAACTTTTTGAGAATAATAACAAAGCTAAACACAAATTTAACTGCACTGCAACCATTTTTATGATTTCTTTTTGGGTTAATTTTTATGATGTAGTTATGTAGTACATAATAAGATGGAGTTTTAAAAACGTTATTGTTTAAAAGGATTGCAAAAAGAAAACTAATTCATCGCCAGTACTATTACAAATTAAGGAATTAACAAAGTGCCAAGAGAATCTCTCTGTATCTGTGAGTGTCTCTGTGTGTTTCCCCGTGGTTGAGTTTGTGAGTAGTAGTCTACGATGAAACCTCACGTGCAGTGAGTTGTAGCATTTTGTTTCTTTGAAACTTTGAATAATCATCTTTAAAGGCAGAGAGCTTTCTTCATAAAGCGAGAATAAAAGGGCCAGTTTGTTTGGTCTTATGGGAATGTAGTGGTTGTGCTTTTGGGTCTTAAGTTTCTTTCTTTCTTTCTCTTTGCCAAAACTGTTCCTTTCCCTCTAATAATTAACCCTTCAATTCATCCCTCTCTCTCTCTCTCTCTCTCTCTCTCTCTCTCTCTCTCTCTCTCTCTCCCTTCATTTCCTTTAACAAAAAGTAGTGTCTGTGTCTCCTTTGTAAAAACAACAGGGAGAGCTAGCTCCCTAGTAGAGTGGGGACTCTTATAATTCACAAATAATGGCACTAGATGCTGTGGTTTTCCCACAAGATCCATTTACATATGGTTACAAGGATTGTTTATACTCCTTGGAATTTCAAGCAGCAGCAGCAGCAGAAGAAGAGAAATTTCTCCTTGGAATTATCAACAATAACATTGAACAGAGTCTCAATGCAAATTGGGATTCTTCTTCTACTTCGGTGTTCAAGGACCCATGGGATTCACACTCTTCCCCTGAGCCCTGCACCGTTGATCAATCTCTCACTTTACCTTTCCCTCCTCCTCCTCCTCCTCCTCTTCCTCTTCCTCCTTCCTCCGTGGAAGCCACCACATGTCGCCGTAAACGACGTCGCAGCACCAAGAGCGCCAAGAACAAGGAGGAAATCGAGAACCAGAGGATGACACACATTGCGGTTGAACGCAATCGCCGAAAACAGATGAATGAGTACCTTGCTGTTCTCCGATCCCTGATGCCTTCTTCTTATGTTCAAAGGGTGAGTTCTTAACTAATCAAAAATATATTTTAATTAATTATTTTAATTAATTAAATATTATTAACTTAAAATTGTTTTTCCGCAGGGTGACCAAGCGTCTATAGTTGGAGGAGCCATTAACTTTGTGAAGGAGCTAGAGCAGCTTTTGCAGTCTATGGAGGGGCAAAAGAAAACAAAACAAGCACAAGAGAATAATAATAATGGCTTAAATAATGGCTCGCTCTTCGGTGAGTTCTTCACGTTTCCTCAGTACACGATGCGTGAAACTCAGAACAACACAGCCACGTCGACCATGGCTCAGAACCAGGATCAGAAACATTTGGCCGTTGCAGACATTGAAGTGACCATGGTTGATAGCCATGCCAACTTAAAGATACTCTCAAAGAAACGACCCGGCCAGCTTATGCAAATGGTTGTCGGGCTTCAAAGTCTTAGGCTCAGCATTCTCCATCTTAACGTTACCACTGTGGATGATATGGTCCTTTACTCAGTCAGTGTAAAGGTTAGTTACCTTTTTCGCAGTTTTTTTTTTTTTTTTTAATATTTCAAGTTGATCGTTTCGCAATTAGTTCAATTCGAAATGAATTCTGAAATTAAAACTTTAAACTCATTCCAAAATGATATTGATAAGGATCGAATATATACTCTCACCCACCTGTTCAGAAAATGAGCTACCATAGTTTGATTTCCCAATTTCTTGTGTCATCCTTTTTTGTTGTTTTCTTTTAATTTGAAGATTTAAAAATTAACTATTTTTCTTAATTTCTGGGTCTTTGTTTGAAATATTGATTGGAACAGATAGAGGACGGGTGTCAGCTGAATGCGGTGGATGAAATTGCTGCTGCTGTGAATCAACTATTACGTACTGTGCAATAAGAAGTGGCTTTCAATTGAGTTAAACTTTATATTAATTTTCTTTATTTAACAAAAAAAATAAAAAAAAGTGCTGTCCTTCTCTTTGTTGAGTAATTTGGGATATCTGTGATTGTGTCCATTGCGATATTAGAGGGGGTTTATATATGTCGTTCTTTATTTTGTCCTAATCCACCCTCTAATATCAGCATTTATGCTATAAAGGACTTTAATATCCTTGTTGAAATGCGTAGGGTTGTGTGTACATTCAACTGCCTAACAAGTCTCAATGAAATACAGAAGTCCATTTCAATATATAAGCTGGGAAAATGCATGCTTAGTGAGATTTAATCTCTTTCATTATTATTCTCTTGTGTTGTGATTTTCTTATCCTCTTCCTTCACAAAATCGAATATATATATATATATATATATATATATATATATATATATATATATATATTTAGATAAGTCTCATCTAAAGCTGACTTCTCCCGCTGTCTATATCGCTCTATGATTTAGACTAGAAAAAAATATGCACGCGTGATATGTTCAGATCGTACTTTGATCATAATACAACTTTTATTTTTTTTGGTGGTTGATAGGGCATAGCCCCAACCAGATCATGATATAACTTAAATCTAAATGAAAAGACCGTTAATGATAAGGTAAATCATTGCATATATAAATACCTATGTTTTGATTATGGGTTTAACATTTGTCGCACATAATTTGTATCTTTTTAATAACTTTATATTATGACTTACCAAAAGATATAATTATAATATTAAAAGTTAAAGAAAAAGTAATTTTTTAGATTATAACTATATCTCACTGATAAAATATAATATAAAGCTACTAAAAACACATAAATTATGTCCTTTAAAATATATACTTTTCTTTTGCAAAAAAAAAACACACACACACACACACACTTTTTTCCATTAGATTATGAGTTTAATGTTAGTCATTTTAAATGACATAAGTTATGTTATTTTAAAAGAGAGACACAAAAAATCAAAATTATGGGAGAAAGAAAGTGAGTAATTTTTTTAATTTAAATTTTAAATAAAAATATTATTTTATGTCTCTCTCTTAAAATGACATAATTTTATATCATTTAAAATCACAAATATTTTTTTCATAGATTGTTTTTGGGTTAATTGCACTTGGTTGACTTATATCAGTAACATTAGTCTTTTCGATCCCAAACATGTATTAGTACTCATGTGGGTAATTTCGATCCACTATCCATGCATTTCTCGAAATAACAAATTGACGACACGCAAGAATTCATGGTTCGATGCCTTTAATTTGTTTAGATTTAATGTTGTTGTATTGCCAAAAAAAAATTATTTTTTAATAAAAAAAACAGCTTTTAGGATAAAGCATCTATATGTCGGATGGGAAATTATATATATATATATATATATATATATATATATATATATATATATATATTTATTTCGTATGTAAATATTAATTCTTTGCATATAGTTCCATATACGGTGGGTTCTTTCCACAAAGATCGAATCATCAATCATTTGCACAAAAATTCAAAAGGCAAAAGTTCATCTGCAGTCCACGGAGTAAGGTCTCATACGACATACAGATATTAACTGGTGTTCGCGATCTGGATTGAATTGGTTTTGAAAGCAAAAATTATCTGATTCAATCCTTTCAGTTTGATCATATAATTATCCATTCGGTTTGGATTATTTTTCAAATCCGATCCGATCCAATCCAATTTTTTCGATTTGGATTGGATCGATTTTTGATTTTTTTAAAATGTTAATTTTTTTTTTGGTAATCTAAGGGGGTTAACAACAACATCCCAAAAAATCAATTCAATAAAATCGTTCTGAAATTACAAGATAAAGACAAATCAGCCCAATACAAAAGTCAAATATCAGATGGAGGATTTTTTTTGCAAATAACATCTTTTGTATATATTGCCTTTGTAATTTTTATTTCTTTTAAATACAAAAGCATTAGTAAACTATAACATAAATCTTATTTTTTGGGCAATGAGATATGAAGTTCTACAAAGATAAAATTTTGTTGATGAAATGTGATTAGATTTTTTCTTGGGTTTAGTTGATGGGTTAATGAGTCTTGGGTTTAGAAATTTTTAGACTATGATTAGAGAAAGACCAAGTAGGTAGAGAGAAATTAATATATTGGATCGGTTTGGATTGGATCGGTTTTCATCAACCCATCCAAAAATCGATCCAATCCAGAAAACCGATCCAATCCAATTAAAATTTACGGTTTTTTTTCGGTTTTCGATTTTTCAGTTTTCGATTTATTTGGTTATCGATTTTTCGGTTCGGTTATCGCGGTTTGAATCGGTTTGGAACGGTTGATGAACACACCTACACATCTCGACTTTAGACCATTATCTCTATTCTCCAAAGAAAAAAACACACTATCTCTTGAAAAATAGTGGATTATTTTTTGGCATATAAAAAATAGAGTAATTTTTAATCATAAAAATGATGTAAGAATGACAATATTCAATATATATTTTTTTATTCTAAGAACTCGAGCTTGCTTTCTTTATAAAACAAATTTTGCACATAGTAGCTTTAAATTGTTAATTAGGATTAAAGTTTTGTTGCTTGGCTTCTCTTTCCACTTTCCATTGCAACTAAAAGAAAGCAAGCTCATGGGCTCGTGCCCTCCATGTATACAAAAATAAATAAAATAAAAGAAAGCAAGCTCATTTTTTCAAAAAAAAAAAATTGAAAGAAAAGAAAGTAAGCTGAGCTCTTTATCGATTCTCCGGATATCTACACAAGTTTAAACTGTATTTCTCTAAAGATATATTTGGTAAGAATCGATTTATGATTCTCTTCCCACCTAATCAACATGTTTTGCCAACTAAGTTATATTTTTTGAATATAATTGTCTTCACTTATTTATAATATTACTAGAACCCTTTTATATATATATATATATATATATATATATATATATATATATATATATACTTACTAGGTAGGACTAATTAACTTCATATACACCCACCTAACATTTTGTATGGAGTGAATTTCTAATAAAATAAGCTTCGTGTGAATTTCATTATTATTAGGACTATTGATTCCTTTATAAGGTGGTTGCAAATATTAAAATGTTCACCTTTAATGTTATATTTTTAACTTGATAGATGTGACATAAATAAAAAGTATACATTTTTATTTAATATCTTATTTAAACTTTTAAGATACTAAACATTTTTGTTTCATAATCCAAGTAAAACAGTTTTTTTTTTTTTTTTTCAAAAAGAGAGTATCATTAAAACAGTGCCAGAGGAAACTACACTGGAGTATGAACAGGAATATGCAAACCGGAAGGAGAAAAATTCTGGCAGAGTTTCAGTGCAGAAAAATCGATTAAATTTCTGAAGGTGTCAGTATCTATAAATAGACACTGACTGGTCACGATTAACCGTCGCTGGCGGCGGAGAACGGTGACTGTTCCGACGAACAGGTACAACCGGTGACCGGTTCGCGAAAGAGAAGAACCGGTTTGATTCAAAATTGCTCAAAAAATCGACAGGTAGAAACGTTTGGTTTTGAATTTTGGACAAAAAATTATTTTTGTTACACACCTATGATCCGATCCGGACAGACGGCGGCGACACGTGGTGAACCAAAGCCCACCTAGCTCCTCCCCCTCCACAAAATGTATAGTGTGAGGTGAGAGCTTATAAACTCTCCTACTTTGAACTAGTTGTCCAATGTGGGACTTGTTAAAATCCATACATCCCTTCAAATTTCCTTTTCTCTTTTTTTTATTAACCCACTTCTTATTCATAACCAATAGATCATTGGTCATTAATTCCAACGACAAGAAAATTGGAAACAAAATAAGATCCAATAATACCACCAAGCAAATGCATCAACTAGCATGAAATTATTTCAGCTTAAGAAGTGATTTTGTATGCAGTTGTTTTAAAAATTTGATGAAAAAAAGCTTGTCTTCATAGTCGTACCAACTGGCTTAAACCAGATTAGTTGAGTAATTAATGAATTATTTGAGAAATCTAAAAAAGAAATCTAAATAATCAAGTACCCTGCAGAATCATTACAAATAGTTGAAACAAACTCTTAGCGATTCATTGAATGAAGTGGTAATTATATATTCACCTTCCATTTTGTCTTTCACGTGTGTGAATATTCTTTATAACACTTTTTTCCTTTTGTCCGCTTCGCAATTGAGCAATGTATCTAATGATGCCTCGGTTTGGAATTGTGAAAAACAGAATGGGAGGGTTCTGTATGCTTGGAATAATGGTACAAAATAATGATCTTTTTTCTTGATCGATCGCCCTTCATGACCAGTGAAAGTAATGGGACATACCCATCAAAGAAACAGATCTCTGCCTAAGATTCAACGGGTTATATGATCATTGTCTAGCGTTTCGTACCATCGATGTTATAACTTTCAACGGGTACTAGATGGCATGGCATATATATAATATAAACACACGATAAAAGCTGAATATAATACATAGTTCATCGCACCATACTCGCTATTTCATATGTCATTATGATTTATGAAAAACTCTATTTAAGTGTAGAAGTACTTTTGGTTGCAATTAACTTGTAATTAAGGACCAATCCAAGTCTCATTAGGTACAAGGATGTCAGATGCTATATAGCTGAGTTCATAGATTATATTTATAATATTATACACTTCATGCCAAATTTGATAGGAAATTAAATCGGCATATGAAAAATATGCCGTCAATATTCAATAGAAAGAACAAAATATTTTCCTAATTAATAGTTGAGGAATGACGACTGCTTCTGAAAGGTGCCATTGGCGGATTTGGTATTTGCATGTTTTGATAGAACATATCGGTATACGTCCATTTCAACAAATTAAGATTTTGGATCGTTTTCTTTCATTTTCAGTGTGATGAAATACGATGTGCTACTCTATGCCCATGGATATAAAAATAAAGCCATAATACAGTACATATGTAATGCTAATATGACAAGAAGAGAATGTCCTCGATTGCAGCTGCGGACAATTTGGGTATGTGTGGACAAATCACGGTCATTAAGGTTGAAGAGGATCATATACAAATTTATATTTATATTTGATAATTGTGGTAAGCCTTGCTATATATATTGTCCTTACGTTTTTTGTGTATGCTTCATCCATAAAAAACCACACAAGTGTCAAGCATGACGTTTATAGCCAAATCAATAAACTTTAACATCCAAGTCATGAAAGATCCACTATATTTTGTTGTCACTTTAGGGGAAAAGTTAAGAGCTATATAGGCGCACCTAGCTTGCCGTAAGAAGCTTTCCAAGGGGTGACTCATATCTCAGTAATTATCCATTCGAATTCAATAATATACGAAAAGAAGCTATATGAGCTAGCTTAACAAGAGTGTACTGTTTGTTAATACATTTTTTAAATGCTCTTTTTGAGGGTCCCCGAATTGATGCTTTTGATTTATTTTTTTCTTGGTATACTTGAATTCTTTGTTGAAATGAGTGACAAGATTAACCTTTGGATTGGAGGGAATAATTGCAAGACATTAGTGATTGTTGAAATAAAAGTATGGAGATTCGAGTGGAAATGGCTAAAATGTGTATAAGTCATACATATTGTTGCCTTGTGTGAAACGCTATGGTAGCTAGGACTGGGAGATTCTTCACTTTAACGATGTTGTTAGTACATCTTTGTGACTAGCATCGAAGAAGTTTCGCAAACGAAATGATGGAAAATTCAAATCATTAAGATTTTGAAAAGCAGAACAGCCTCCAGGTGACTAGTACAATATTCCTCCACTTTCATTTTGTTCCTAGCCAACTAGTGAAATGACCCAAAGTAAAACTTTTTTCGAAACAGAATGTTCTACAAAAGATTTTCGTAATAATATGCCTAGTTGCTGACATAGTTTAATTTTCCATTCTTTCAATCAAAAGTTTCTCGAAGAAATAAATATATAAAAGTTAAAAACCGAAGAAATGTTCCTACCGCTATCAAACGAAAAAAATATATAGTGATTCCTTTCTTTCTCCTCTCTCCTCTCTCCTCCTTTCCCTCTCTATCAGGCGCATTTGATCCGAGATCACAAAAGAAATGCTCCTCTCAAGCGGGTGATGCATGGAGCAACTTTTTTATTATTATTTTTTATATGAAAATTAGCAATTGTTTCATGATAAAGTTGATTTTGGAACTAACCAACTGAGAAACTTCCAAATTGCACGTCTCAACCTTTTCCTTTTTTGGTCCGATAAATGTCTCAAAGCTCGAAGCCAGTAACAGGCCCACTGATTTCATGGGCCTTGGTTCTTCAGTATCTGTTCCCATACTGAAGATTGGATTTAGTCACATCACAATATATTGGGCCTTCTTGAGAATAGCCCAGTGATTGAAGATTGGATTAAGAAACCAAATTCGAACCTAATAAAAAAACACTGTCCCAACGGTTAGCCCATTGAATTTGAATCGAGGAGACGCAGATAAATAATAATTTGATTTTTCCGACCAAAACCAGAGCCAAACCTCACAATCACAACACCACTTTGTTGTTTCCAATTTCTTGATAATTGCCAAAGAGTTCCATAGCAATTCAGCGTTTCTTTCACTTTCACTTCAACACCCTAGAATTTGGGCCTTTTCTTTTCTTTTTAATCGAAATTCGTGCTTTGAGTTTAAACAACTACAACGATGGATCTTCCTCGATACATCGACGATTACATCAAACAATCCATTGATGATTCGTTGGGGATTCCTGTGTCTTCGCAAACCCTAGAGACCAAGCTTCGCGCCTCCCAAGAGTCACAATGGCGCCTCCGCGAACAGTACCTTTCCCTACTCCCCAAATTGAAGCAGAAAGACCAACTCATCGAACGCCTCAAGGTGATTCTTCTTTTCAATCTTTCTCTAATAATTGTTCTTTTTTTGAAAAAAAATAAAATTGTAATCGAAATTTCTCTTCTTTTTTTCGAGCAGTCTGAATCGACTATGAATGCTCAAGCTTTGAAGAAGTTTGTTGAGGAAAATCAGAGACTGGCGTTGGAGTGTGAGAATCTGTTGGTCCAATGCCAGAAATGGGAAAAGGAATGCGCGCTGTATGATCTTGACAGGGAAGCGTTGATGGAATTCGGAAACGACGCTGAAGAACGGGCACGGGAGGCTCAATCACGCGTTCTCATGTTGGAACGGGATTTGCTTTTGTTGGAGAATGAGTTGAAGAAATACAAGCATTACCACGAATTGGTAATAATATTTTTCGTTTTTATTTTTGTTAGAATCTTTTTTTCCCACCCTTTTTAACAATCAAAATGCATGCCTTCCCTTCTAACGATCTGAGTTAGTTAATGGTTTATAATATGGATAATATTGTAATGCTAGTTAAGGGTGCATCAATGGGTAGTGTAAAGACTTCATTTTTATTTAGTTTTAGCAATGGTGAGAATACTCGTGGACATTGATGTGGTTCTTTCTATCATGCATTTTATTCGGGTGGACCGTGTGTGGTGGTCGTATTGATTACTAAACGGTTTCGTGGATTAGTTGGAATTTCATTTTTAGTTGTTAATGTAAACTTGAAAATGCAAGAGGGGCGCCTCCCTTTTGATTCTTTTGGAGTAAATTAATTATTGATAATGTACTCGAAAGTGCTACTAGGAAGGACCTTGGAACTTAATTCACTCGCCGTATGTTGGAGTTCCTGATGTGTTTTTGCTTCAAATAAATATAAGCATTGACATTAAGGTGAAATGTGTTTCATCCCATTGATTTATAATCAACTTTTGGTTTCCATTGGTAACATAAGTCATTGAGATTATTCGTATGCTCACTGCTTTTGGCGATAATGCATTGTGATAACCATAAGATTGACTTCTGTCAGCTGTTAAATTGACAATTTTAATGTGCTTTATTTTAATGAAGTTATACTGCTAATACGTAATGTTCTTTTTTACCCATCTGCATTACTGAACTTCTGCTACTAGCAAGTAATGTTCTTTTTCAGATTTTCATATGTTTCTTTCCTTTTCCTTTACTCATGAAATGGTAATAGCTTTTGCAAGTTCTAGTCAGGGGTTTTCAATGTTGACCCCAGAAATTTGCTTTGTTTGTGAAGGTCGATTCTTCCTCTGCATGCACACATGGGGAAAAGAATTTACTTGACTCTCTTTTGGCAACTCTTACTAGCAAAGATGATGATTCTACATATGCATTTTTGGAAGTAAATAGTGAAAATGAGTCCTGTAAGAAGTTGCTTAGTATGTGGAATTGGTGAGCCTCCAACTTCTCTTCATTCTCTTGTCCACTTTCCTTCCTTTTCCCGTTATTCTTTAGGCGTTGTACTCATTTGGCCAATTTCTGAATTATGGATTTGGTAGCTTAAAGCCATCAACTCAGAGAGTTCTGTCAGTAGTTGCCAAAGTTACGTCACTTGAAAAAGATAAGGAGCATCTAAGAACTAACCTTCACAAAGCTGAGGAGGAGGTAAAGATTGACTGATCCCCTTATTTTTGGACCATTTCATTTATTTTCGATGATTTGATTGTTGATTAATATCTAACTTAGCATGGTATGCCTAGGTCAAATTACTGTTTGATGAAAATAACATACTGGATGAGGAGAACAAAAGGTTGTTGAGGCAATACAAGGAAAATAACCATCCTGGTTCTGCGGGGAAACATACAAGCAGTGGATCTGCCAAGGCAAGAAAGATTTAAGGTTTAAAAGAAAATCATGTGATGTTTTCTTGCAGCATATGCGCGTGCCAGTGTTGCATTGCATGTTCAAATTCATTTCATTTCTCTTCCCATGCTGATGATATATAACCATCTAAGTTGCCTAGTAGTTATCATATGCATCTTCTGCAGCCATCTCTCCTTGAATGTATGCATATTTATATTCATAATTTATATTTATTTGGCTTTTGCAGTCAAACAAGAGAAAGTCTAGTCCCAGAACAAGTAGCCCAATGGAGAGGAATATTGATTTTGACGATCTAGATTCAGCAAGACAACCATTATCACCCTTGCGAAATAACTCCCTAGATTGTAGAATGCATAAAAAGTAATACGACAGACTAATGTACTAATAGACGATGAGTTTGATCACTTCTTCGGTACAAAGTTCTGACAGTGTTTCCGATTTACTGATGTGTTGATTAATCACAGTTTGCATATCTGTTGCTTCCAAGAATCAGTATTGGTCATGCTTTTATGGAATGCGAGCAACTCTTTCCTACAAATAACATGTCTATTTTAACTCAATTTGTGGTTTTGTATTGACCAAGAAACTCAGCAGTACTTTTTTCAGCCCTATAATGGCATTTGGCATTACCTTTGCTATTGCATAAACTAATTACTTGGAATAAAAAGACGGAGAAGTGGGAAAAAATTCTTGTTAAGCTTATACTGGTCTTAAAACCTGACTAGACTGGCCAATTCAACCAGGTGCAAATGAGTTTATAGAAGCTTGTGTCAAACCTGTGTGTTCTATGTCATTCATCCTACCATGCATGAGAATCATTAAAAATTGGAAGTAACTTGATTTGATTTATAAATTAATTTTTATTTAAACGAGTTATTACAAATAAAACTTGAACTGAACTATAAATTTAATTTTATTCCCAACACATTAACATGAATTATTTTTTTTAGTAATAATTTACTTTAGGGGTTTATATATCTTATGTCACTGCACCAAAAAAGTTTCTGCAGCATAGACAATAAAGTTGTGGGATTCACAATTTTTTTTCTTCTCTTTTCTCATCTCACTTTCTCTCTCTCTCTCTCTTTTATTGTGTCTGCTACAAAAATTTTCATTGTGTAATGACATAAGATATATAAATCCCTTTATCTTTTAGTTAGAACAAGGTGAATGGCTTAACTAAAATGGATAAATATGTTAATTTAAAAAACCATTTAAACTAAAATACAATGAAGTACAATTATCTTTAAGTAGATTTTTTTTCTATACAATTAAATATTAAATAATCTCCATATCAAACCAATTTAAAATTTTTAATTTTTTAAATAAATATTTCATCTATAAATAAAATTATTTTTTAAAATATTTCACATAAAGCAGGTTTTTGTTACATTTTTTTTTTTTGGATTTTCATTTATATATATATATATAAGAAAAGTGTTTGTCATTTTAAATAACATAAAATTATGTCATTTTAAAAGAGAGATAGACACAAGAAAATATGTTTTTATTTAAAATTTAAATTAAAAAAAACCACCCACTTTCTCTCTCATGATTTTAATTTCTTGTGTCTCTCTCTCTTAAAATGACATAACTTATGTCATTTAAAATGACAAACACCAAACTCATATATATATATGGAAAAAGTGTTTGTCATTTTAAATGACATAAATATATGTCATTTTAAGAGTGAGATAGACACAAAATAAATTTTTATTTAAATTTTAAATTAAAAAAAATACCCATTTTCTCTCTTCCATGATTTTCGTTTTTTGTGTCTATCTCTCTCCTAAAATGACATAACTTATGTCATTTAAAATAACAAACATCAAGTCATATATATATATATATATTGAGATTGGAATCGAAATAACAGTGGGATTGAGAAAATTGCCTCAACCTAAAATATTTAGTCAAGTATTTTGTGACTATCATATGTAGGGAAAAGTGTTTGGCATTTTAAATGACTTTTTGACCCTTTTGCCCCTCATTAATTAATTAATAACCAATTTGCCCCTGATCAAGAACTATCCACCAACCTGCCCCCTTTTAGTCGACTACCTTGCTGTTTTAGTCGAGCAAATGGTCAATCTTCAAAAAGTGGACTACCGCAAATTTAGTCGACTAAAAAATTATCTTAATCGACTACATTTTTGGGATATTTAGTCGACTAAGTAACGATATTTAGTCGACTAAGTAACGATATTTAGTCGACTAAATGTCGACGGATTTGTTTTTTAAAAAACCCCCCATTCGGCAGAGGGGGAGTATGATGACCTAATCGACTAAGGAGGCGACCCAAACCCCAAATCCGCAGAAGCAGCTGAAGAACGCCCCAAACCCTTCCCTTAGGCGTGTGGATTGCCCCCAAATTTGGTCCAAATCGTGAAATCTGAAGGATAGGTAAGGTTTCTTAACTTGCATTGTGTTTTAGGTTTAGGAATTTTTTTTATTTGTTTGCTGTCCGAATTTGTGAACTCTAATCAAAGCGTTTGTTGTAGGTTTTGTAACCCTAATCTACTAAGGTTTATTTTTTTGCATTGTGTGAATTTTTTTGTTTGAAAAGTTTGTATGTGGCAAAAGTTTGCTTTTGGTTTACAGCCCTTATGTTGCAAGTTTTCATTACCATCATGACATGTTTCATATAGTTAAATGCTGACATGTTTCATTGTAGGTACCCTAAACAAATGACGAGCCGCAGAAGACCAAGCGATGAGGGCAATGAGTCACTTGAGAGACGCACCAAGCATAGGCAAGAGCGGCCTTCTTCGTCAAGGCGACAAGACGAAGAGCCTGATACTGTTGACCTCCCGTATGGGTATCTGTTTGAGGACGACCCTGCCGTCCACGCTTCATTCGTACGTGACCATTTGAACCGGCCGTTATGTGCTCCAAAATCTTTGGATACATCCTTTTTTGATAAGGAGGGATTTGAAATTGTGGGGGTGTTGGAGGCGGCACATCTGAGGGTGTTGGCCGAGACCCTATGTCCGTATTCAGAGCTTATGGTGCAGGCCTTCTACCATAACCTCAGCTACGTACAGGGCGAGCTGAGGTCGAGGGTCTGAGGAATAGAGATCATCATGACGGCACCTGCATGGTTGGAGATACTCGGCTATGGTTTTGACTCTTCTCAGACTGTGGTGTATGACGCTGATAGTGGTGTAGTACTTCCAGGATATGTACGAGAGGATGCCGTGCAGGAGCAGAGAAGAGTCCGTGGGGAACACTTGCACTATACAGTGGGGTTGCTTTCTGTGGAGTCCCGTATACTACACTATGTCCTCACCCACGTTCTGTTTCCGCGATCTTTTAATCATTCCAGGGTGTTGGAACATGACATTCCCATTATGTGGGCTATCCGACATGCTCAGATGGTGAACTGGAGGCACTATATCTGTTGGTTTATGTTTAAGGCCAAACATAAGGGTCATCTTCCATACGCCTGTCTGGTACAGAGGATATTGGTTCACTTTGGTGTTCCCATGGAGACTGAGCTGTTGAAGAAGACCACGGGCTATAATTGCAAGTTCGGAAAGCGTCTATTGGAGCAATGCAAGATTACTAAGAACACGAGATCGGGTGTGTGGGAGTTTAGTGGTATGCCCCAGGTTGAGGTTCCTTATGTTGCCCCAGATGACCATATTGTTGAGCCAGAGGTGGAGGAGGAGGAGGAGGATGTGGCTGAGGTTGAGGAGATAGCTGAACCTGAAGGTGGATTTTCACTGCGTGATGTCATGAAGGGCATAAATGCAATGACAAAGAAGATAGGAAAGATGGCGCTGGCACATAAAAAATGGAGAAAGAAAGGGAATGAAAGGTTTAGACACATACAGGGAAGGTTTAAGGGTGTGGAAGACAGGCTTGCTCGTCTGGAGCTTGCAAGAGGTGGTCAGGTAGCTGAGGCAGCAGGGGATGGAGGTCATGTGTCAGATGAGGACGACTCGGAGACGGACACAGACGGGGATGACAAGTAGATTTAGGGTGTACATCATGTTATTATGTTTTGTTCATGTATTTCCTTTAAGTCGTTGATGTAATGTAACTTTTTTTAATGAATGCAGAATTGTTATGTTTTTTGGATCTATGTTATGTTGTGTAATGAATTTAATTCCATTTCAATATTGTATAACTTATGAATGGAACCTTTTTAGCAATTTGATCATCACGGCACAAAACAATATTGAACAGGTCACATTCGTCCATAACACATCACAACAAATCAGTACATGTGTTTAAAAAGGCTACATCTTGTATTGTTAACCGTAAACAAACGTTATCTCAAAGATGAGCCTTCATACAATATAATTTGACTGCATGTTGCATTTCAGATTTGCTACGAAACTCCTGATACAAATATAAATGATCCCCTAATTGCCAGCCACCGTGATCATCATCGTCACCATACAATATCTATGTCTCATCATTAGGGTGGGCCCAATTAATGAAGGTATAATGTGAGCTTTCATTCCAAAATGGCTCGACCTCAGAACCTACGGATGCATTATAATGCCACCGTCAATACCATTCATAACAAAAAAAATAATTGCTAAATTAAATCTTTAAAAAACAAATCTTACCACTGCTAACAGGGTCAACACGAAGTGGTCTCGTAACCTGCGAACCCGGGGATGGTGAGCTTGTGTCAGCGTTGAAATCACCCTCTACGTTAGTATCTGACGTGTCACCTAGCGGAATAACACTCTCAGGTTCACCGTCCTCATCGCTGTCCATATCGGCATCCTGTTCATCCTCATCTATTTCCCGCAGTGTTATCTGACTTATGACATGTGCAGGTGCAGATAAATCGACTACTCTTTCTTCATGACCAAAATACGGTTCACTTCTTGTATGCATGGGTGCAGATGAAGATTGACCACAATCTAATTCAACATATATCTCAATAAAATTTTGAAATTTTCGGTCAACAATTGCATCTATGACACATTCGACATCTTCATCATCACATATATCGTTACCAATGTAGTAAATAGCATCCTTACCAACTGTTGTCTCTACCCTGGCAATCATCCGTTGAACGCATTGGCTGCCTTGCAGACCCAATTTTTGCTGAATTCTCTCCTTTAACTTATTGTATGTAGTGCCCCGTTTGATTTTCAACATTTTCGTTTTTCCTTCAAATTGAACACCATTGGGGCCTTCATAATGCTTTCCATCATAGTAGATCATTGTCACATACATGTTTGGACTTGTGCTCATCTTCCTCACGAAATTGGGACTTGGGTTCTGAAATTGGGGGTTTGGGTTCGGATTTTGGGGTTTGGAATTGGGCAATGACAATGATTTCACAATATTAGGTCTGTAGAGATGGTGGGATGAAATACAATCGGATTGAGAGGATTACACATGAACAAAGGGAGCTATTTAGGTTTACACAACAACAACAATCGAAATGAGACCGAAAACATGGAAAATATAGGGTTTCAGTCGACATTTAGTCGACTAAATATCGTTACTTAGTCGACTAAATATCCCAAAAATGTAGTCGATTAAGATGATTTTTTAGTCGACTAAATTTGCGGTAGTCCACTTTCTGAAGATTGACCATTTGCTCGACTAAAACAGCAGGGTAGTCGACTAAAAGGGGGCAGGTTGGTGGATAGTTCTTGATCAGGGGCAAATTGGTTATTAATTAATTAATGAGGGGCAAAAGGGTCAAAAAGCCCATTTTAAATGACACAAAATTATGTCATTTTAAGAAAGAGATAGACACAAAATAATATTTTTTATTTAAAATTTAAATTAAAAAAAATCATTCACTTTCTCTCTCATAATTTTCATTTTTTGTATCTATCTCTTTCCTAAAACGACGTAACGTATGTCATTTAAAATGACAAACATCAAACCCATCATACATAAAATATGCTTCAACTCTTTAAATTTAATTTAAATTGATTTATCATTTTATTTTTTTGTGGGGGGTTAATTCTAGAATAGGACAACGATGTCGTTTTACCACCTATATGCCCTTATGTTATGGCCTTATCCATTTCAGTTGGCACTTGGCAGTGGCACTTCCCTTTCCCTCGGCAACCCAAAAACCTGTGCGTAATGGCGCTACAACGTCTTCTCTGCTTAACTTCAACAACTCAGTTATCCACTCAACACAATCTAAACTCTTTCTCTTCATCTTCCCAATCCATCAACTCAGTCACCAAAATCTCTTTTTGTCAACCACCCTCTTCGTTTCACCTTCTGCGTCTATCCCTCGCCCAAACCCCAAACCTTATTAGAACCAAACTCGCCTCTACTTCCTCAGAACAAACCCAAGAAACCGAGGAAGACAGTGAAGAATTTTCTCGGACCAGATTGCTCGCTCTGAACGTGCCTTGGACGAGTACCCCTGAAGATATTCGTTCTTTGTTCGAGAGACATGGGAAAGTCCTCCAAGTTGAGGTTTCTTTTCTTTTCTTTTCTTTTTCGGTTAATTTAAGGTTTTTTCGTTTTTTTTTTTTTTTTGGTCTGACAAGGGTTTATGTTTGTTTTTGGGCTTAAGCTTTCTATGTATAACAAATCCAGAAACAGGGGTTTGGCGTTTGTCGAAATGGGTTCCCCTGAAGAGGCTCTTGCGGCTCTCAATAGTCTTGAATCGTATGTAAGGTCTTATCTTTTTGTTTGCTATTGTCTTTCATCTTCTGTGGACTTGTTAACACTCACACACTGTTTGGTATCCCTAAAATTGGGATGAGATGAAAAAATTCACAGCTTCCATTTTCATTTTCATTTTTCTGTGTGATTAAGCATTGGTCTTTGTATGTATCTATAGTTATGGATTACACTTTGGCAACCTCATTTACTGATTTTACTCACAAGTATATTTCGTAAGGGACCTTGATGTTATTTTGATTTTCATTTCTTTGAATGCTGCGTAGGAGTTTGAGGGTCGCATTATAAAACTCAATTATGCTCATATAAAAAAGAAGAAAACTCCACCCCCTGTGCAACGAAAGCCAGTAACATTTAACTTGTTTGTAGCAAACTTTTCCTATGAAGTGCGGTCTAACGATCTCAAGGAGTTTTTTGACTCGGGAAGTGGTAGAGTTGTTTCTGCAGAGGTTATATTTCATGAAAACCCTAGAAGATCATCTGGTTATGGATTTGTGTCCTTCAAGTCCAAGAAAGAAGCTGATGCAGCTCTTTCTGAGTTTGAAGGAAAGGTAACTTGGGGTTTCTTTCATCAGTTTCTTTATTTTAAATCCGATTATGAGTATGGGTAATGTCATTCTTGCAATTCTTCTCTGTACATTCTTAGCATTTGTAACACCATTTTTAGTCGGAGTGACACATGGGAAAAATCGTTCTGCTGCAGATTTTTATGGGGAGGCCAATCAGGGTGGCACGTAGTACGCGATTCGTTCAACAACCAGTAGAGGAGAGTGCAAGGTCTGAAGATAAATCTTCTGAGTTGAGTGTGAATGGGGAAGAAGCTGACAAAGCTGATTGATATCATTACTTCCTTGCTGCATATCAATATTATCGATGTTGTATGTTCTTGCTTCAGACGTTTTGGTTGTTTTTCATTCTTACTGATGATGTAAAGCCTTCGATTGACTTAAATATACGTGTTTTGCAGGTGGTTTGCACCTTTATAAACCAGAGGTTCAAGAGATACAAGAAATGAATGTGTAAGCAAGAGCATTTCTGTGATTCCAGAAATGAAAATGAATAGCCATTGTAAATGAATGAGCACATCTCAATGGAATCGAGATATTTTCTTTGCATAATGTAACATTTGTTGCCATGCTAGTTTATCTTAAGAAAGCGAGAAATATATCTATATTAGTGATGTTGTTTGCAGCTTTACTGGTTACTTCGAAATGACATGTTGATGTGGTCTATCTAATACTTTTTTATTTAATATATGGGGGACATTAAGATTATTTGTTCGAAATCTACCAGAAGGAAACAAAACAAAACAAAACCATTCAAAGAGGGGGAGAGACAAGCTTGAACATAAAACGTGTGTGATGTTACAAACCATTTCTATTAATACTTGAGGCTTGTTTTGTGGATTTGTCTTTCAATGTAGCTCTAAGACTTTTTTCTTTCTTTCTTTGGCTGTGAAAGATAGTAATTGCTGTAAAGACAAAAGACCTGTCTTACGGCATTAACTCTAGTTCTATATCTTAATCTATGATTGTGGCTTGAAGGGTTGGCCTGAATGCACTCCCTTCTAACATTAAGACTTACGTATGATTGCTTGTTCATAGCCCCATGTCAGATTCTTGCATAATGAGTTCCCTATACATGTTATATTTTGTCAACAAATGGGGAAGTCTGCCAATGCATGTAAATCTCTACTGTAGTAACTCATAAATAGTAATGTTTCTTCTGAATGGATTTTTAGTGTTATAATAGACACGGTAGCATTATAGTATGACATTTATTTGAGCCTTGGAGGAAATATATGCTGCTGAGCGCTGACAGTTTTAATAAACAGTCACGGAAGCAGCTGCTTATTTTCGTGTCTAATCTGTTCTGCATTATTTCCGCTCTAAAGTAGTTACATAAGCGCTTATTATTGTGCTTGTTGCTTTGACTTTTGAGCTCCTTCAAACGTTTTATGGTTGCAAGTGTGGTAACTTTTATTACGATTGCTCCTATACTATTCATCATTAGGTTTTGCATTGAGATATCCACAACAATTTTTAACAAGATCAACTTTACAAAAGTAAATCAAGGTTTTGCATTGATGAATAGTTGTGGGAAAGGGTTATTGAGCATCGCTTGAGGAGAGATACCAAAGTTTCTGTAAATCAATTTGGATTTATGCCAGGAAGATGTACCATGGAAGCTATTTTCTTGATGCGACAACTAATGAAAAAATATCGAGAAAAGAAAAAGGACTTACATATGGTGTTCATAAACCTTGAGAAAGCATATGATAGGGTTCCAAGGAAATTTTTATGGTGGGTTCTGGAGAAGAAAAAGGTATTGTCAAAGTATGTAAAGGCAATCAAGGATATGTATGATGGGGCTACTACATGTGTGAAAGCTTGTAACGGAACAACAAGTTATTTTCCTATCATGGTAGGTGTACACCAAGGGTCGGCTCTAAGTCCTTATCTCTTCGCCTTAGTTATGGATGAACTAACAAAAGATATTCAAGAGGAAGTGCCATGGTGTATGCTTTTTGCAGACGATATTGTGCTTATTGATGAGAGCAAGGATGATGTTAATAGAAAACTTGAATTGTGGAGAAGCACATTGGAATCTAAAGGATTCACATTAAGTCGAAGCAAGACTGAGTATCTGAAGTGTGAGTTTTCTCTAGTAAGAGATGTAGACCAAGATCCCGTGCATCTAAGTGGTCAAGAGGTACCCAAGAAAGACGCTTTTAAATACCTGGGCTCCATTTTGCAAAAAGGTGAAGAGATTGATGAGGATGTAAATCATAGAATCAGAGTAGGGTGGATGAAATGACGCAGTGCATCGGGGTTTTTGTGTGACCACAAAATCTCCCTTAAGTTAAAAAGAAAATTCTATAAAACAGCAGTAAGACCTGCAATGCTATATGGAGCTGAATGTTAGCCAGCACATAGGCAACATGAGCATAAAATGGGAGTAGCAGAGATGAGGATGTTAAGGTGGATGTGTGGTTATGCGAGGATAAATAAGATAAGAAATGAAGATATTCGACGAAAGGTAGTAGTACTACCGGTGGTTGAGAAGATGAGAGAACATAGATTGAGGTGTTTTGGGCACGTAATGAGAAGGCCCCTGGATGCTCCCGTAAGAACATAAGTTTGTTACCAAGAGCTCAACACAAAAAGAGGTAGAGGTAGAGGTAGACCGAAACTTACTTGGGGGAATGTAGTAAAACAAGATTTAATGGAGTGAGATATAGATTGGCAGATGGTATGCCTTAGAACGGAATGGAGAAAAGCTATAAGCATGGTGGATGGTTAGACTCGTTGTTATTCCTATGTTCCAGATGGTCCCTTTTTAGTCCTTTTTCCCTTCATTTCTCCCTCTTCTTCTTTTCCCTTTCTTTTTTACTTTTATATATATATATATTATTACTATTCTATTTATTTATTTTTATTTTTACTTGTATGTTTTTTTTTTCCAACCTTTTTGTATCTTTTATTTGGATTCATCTACCACCGACTCCAATTAATTTAGGATAAAGACGTTGTTGATGTTGATGTTGATGTTGTTCAACTTTACAAAAGTATCTAGCCTAGTGGTTTGTGGGACTTCTGATGGTTGGTAGGGTCTTTTTGTTGTGATTAGGGCTATCTCTAAGGCATTGCTTGCTAGCAACTTGTGTTGTGGGTATAGATTAGACTAGATATAATATGCTATTTGAATCGAGTGTTTACTCTTAATTCATCCACTGATGATAATATTACGCCTAAATATTACGTTGGGCTTAACGAAATGACATTTACATGAATGTTTTGTGTATTTTGATGAGCAATTTTTATGAGGTGCTAAAGTTAAAATGTTTCACCCATAAGAATCTGTTTTTCCCACTACGACCGAGAGAAGAACGTAGCCAATGATACCAAAGATGCTACTCTCTTCTAGATCTTAAATCAAATATCAAATCCACCTTACGAAGGTTACTTGAAATAGAACGCGGTAGTTAACATAAGGTTCCTGACCTGATGGATGTCATAAGAAGAGATACATAATTGGATCAAACCAACAGATAAAGGACTTTCACACCCTAAGGGATGCGACCAATCTGCCCGGTCAAAAAAAAAGAAAAAGCATTTAACTTTAATCATTCAAGACGCTCGGACATCTTGTAAAGTCATGAGCTTTTCAATAATAAATTTCATTCCCTACCACCTTTTTTTAAACATTAAAAGGGTTGTCAATCCAAATTTTTATTTTACAAAATGTATGGCCTAGTAAATTTATACGAATATTACTTCCAATGACATAGGAAATTCAAACATAAGAATACAAGGTGAAGAACAAACTTATGTGGCAACTCAACCAACATCTGTTGGTGATGCTACTGTTTCACTCACATGGTGACATTTTTTGTTCCTGCCTTTTTCATTTTTTATGGTCTTATCAGCTTCTATCTCATGCTGTTAAGATCTGATAAACCAAATTGCTTTTATCTTATCACTAATTACAGTGTGAATGCTATACGTCTGCATAATTATTGTTTCCTTTGCCAATAAAAATCAGCTGAATAGCTGGAAACCTTTCAACGGTGATGATTGTTTTCTTGACTCTAAAAGCATAGTAGTAGTTGGGCTGAAAGCAAGGGACCCAACTGCTCCAACCATTCCATCTTTATGAATCTGTACACACATTCACAAATCGAATGAGTTGAGTTGCTTTTTGCTAATCCAAATTTAATGACTAACCCATAATGGGTTCATCGCCAAGGCTTCAAACTTTCAATCGTTCTCATGTTTGGTAAGCAGTTAGGATCAAGATTTAGTATGTCACATTCTTTCCCAAACCCCATTTTTTGTCGCCACAAAGATTTTCTTCTCTCCGTTGCCACGTTCACCACATTTTTCTCTGCTGACTTGCTCTTTTTTGCTTCCCTCCTAAGGAATCTCTAGGAACCAAACTCTAATCTTTTGCGTGATAAAACAATTTTTTTTGTAAAGAGCCTTGTGTGGTTGAGTAGGTCCAATTTTATAGAGAGAAAATTATATTCCATTACTCGTATGTTAATTACTCACTCGTTTGAGAGTTCTTTTCAATGTCAAAAGGTATTTATGGGAAGAGCCTCAATCTTTTTAAGTAGAGATTAATCTCATACTTAAAAGAGGGGGGGAAAAAAAAATCTAAAAACAAAAAAGAAAATGTGAATTATTGGTCATGAATTATACCTTTTTGGCATACCAATATTATTTGGAAACTCTTTGGTTCATGGTAAAGGGTTCGGATATATGACGCGTTAGGAATTGCGTTGTTGTGTGCACCACAAAGAGTAGGTTCTAAGCAAGCATTCATTTTCAAACCATGATCTTGCATATGTAATTATGACGACATGTAGTGGGGTCATATAGTTACAATATTAGAATCATGCATTTCCATAAAACAAAAAGATAACACTAAAGATAACAGAGTTTAAATATTGGGCAGGCAAAGGAGATAGGTATATGAACCTAATCTCCCCTTCATGTTTCTTCATTAGCAATACATCTTAGACTACTACAGGTGAAATCTTATTGGCAGGTCTTGTCAACGGCATTGTAATTGCAACAGAATAATTCCACTCAACCACTATTTCACATCTCATAATGGGAGTTAGAAAGAACACAAAAGACCATCTTTTCTAACCATTAGGTATGAAGTGTAACACAAGTCATCCACATGCAAAATGAGACAAACTGGGCCTAATCTAACAACTCCCATGCCCTTCTTATAATAATATAAAGCAAAACCATTCTCCAACATCATAGCCAGAGCCTCCTCTGTAGTCTCTTTCCCCCCCTCACTATCTCATCAAATGGCATTCTCTAATGCGTTGGTTTTGGGCTTATTTCTAGCAATTAACATGGCCCTGCCAACCCTGGCAACTGTCTACACAGTGGGAGATACTTCAGGTTGGGCAATTGGTGCTGATTATAGCACATGGACTAGTGCCAAGACCTTTGCAGTTGGTGATAGTCTTGGTAAGAACTAGTTAACCTTTTTATTTATTTATTTATTTCAAACACAATGTTATGCTATTAGTCTCCAAACTCATGTACCTTTTTTTTATGTGAAAGTGTTCAACTATGGAGCTGGGCACACAGTGGATGAAGTTAAAGAGAGTGATTACAAATCCTGCACTACAGGGAATTCAATTAATACAGACAGTAGTGGAGCCACCACCATTGCCCTCAAAACTGCTGGCACTCATTACTTCATATGTGCAGTTCCTGGACATTGTGCTGGTGGCATGAAACTTGCTGTTACTGTTAAGGCTGGAAAAGCCACTGCTCCTTCAGCAACACCATCATCAGGGAACGGTTCACCTTCTGATAGCAACACACCTACCACCACCACCACTAGACCAAATTCATCTTCAGCGAGTAGTCTCTCACCAATTGTTGCCATGGTGATTGTTTCATGCATCTCCTACTATGTTCTGCGTCTTGTATGAGTTTCTCCTCATATAGCCAGGACAGAGGCAGTGCTTCCATGGTTTCTTTGGTTCTTATATTATTATTAGTATTAGTACTCTGCTTTCTTGTTTGATCTATTCAGATTCTTGTACGAGTATTGATCGAGGTTCTTGTAGTAATAATTATCTAGGAAATCTCGCATGTTTTTCTTTTTTTTCTTTTTGATAAATAGAGTGATTACTGCTTATTAAGATTGTTTTCATTTTTTTTTTGTTTAATATATATACTGCTTACTAATATTATATATGCTTTTTATCAGGGGGGGAAAAAACATTATACATGCTCTCTTTTTTTATACATAAAAGCTTAGCGTAAAGGGAAACACTTTTCATTTTAAGATGGATAAACCACCAACCTGAGTGATTTGAGTCAATACCAAATAAAAGAAATTTATTTAAGAGCAAATTAAAAAAGTACTCCTTCAATTTCATCCCCGTAAATTTCTCTTTTATAGTATTTTAATAGATAGATCTATGCCAAATTGCCCATCCAAATAGATTACAGGTGTAAACTACATGAGCTGAACCGTTTGATAGAGGGGAAAAAATTTATGTCTGTAAATCATGATTCTCAAGGAGAATGAATTTTTTGATAATATTATCAAAATGTTGTTTGGTAGGTCAAAATATTATCGTGAATGCTACCAAAAAGCTGTGTGAAATTTTCTCATTCTTAGATAGCATTTTGGTTCAAAAAGCTTTAAAAAAAACTTCTTAGAGAAGTATATAAATCATTGATGAACGTTCACTTAACAACTTAAACTTTTGGTTAAATTGATTTTTTTATATGGTATCAGAGCGTTTGATCCTCACCGCCCCCACTTTAATAAACAACTAATCAAGTCTTTGTGGAGTTTCTTAGTATAGATAAGATGAGTCTATGTAATATCCACCATTTAAGTCCAATAGGCTTTTGTATGAGGGGACATGTTAGAGAAGTATATAAATCATTGATGGATCTTCATTTAACAATTTAAACTTTTAGATTGAATTGATTCTTTACACATGAGAATATGATTTTTTCGAAAAAAATTGTAACAATCCTTATACCAAAGATAGATAAATATGATTACCAATTTCAATTTCCCGAAAATCCAAATTTTTTCCTTGTATCAAATGGCCAAGTTTTGGAAATACTATGCTCATGAAGAAATTTTGGAACGGTTTTTGTTGAAAAATTTACCATGTTTGGAATGGAAATCACTTAATACTTCTCCATACAACCAAAAATTAAAATAGACAAAATTACTTTATAAGTCCTTATATTTGCATTGAATTTACAAAAAAAATATTGTAATTTAAATTTTTACGAGAAGGCCTGTGTATTTTAACTAAATTTTTAAATAAATTCTCATTAGTAATGAAAACTTTAATTGAGTTTCTAAATCTTGTAAAGTAACATAGCCGCAGCATAACAATCCATTAAGGGCATGTTTGGAGCACCTAATAAGGAAGATAGGATAGGATAACTTATCATATCCTACTCTTATCTCTTGTTTGGTGGGTCAATAGGATATGATTAATTTATCTATTGTCTCATTTTATCAATGCATGATTTCTTATCTTATAGGGGGAGCTGGGTTAAGATTTAATAGGATAGGATATCAATATTAAATACCCAGTAAATTCCCACCTACCCAATATATTCTCACACTTCCCAATTTATTTGTATTTATTGCATTATATTTTCTTTTCTTTTTTTCCTTTCTCCTTCTACATAATCTTATCATATTGCTAATCAGGTGCTCATCAAACACAAAATATGATATAGGCTTATCAGCCCCATATCATATCCTATCCTTATCAGCTCCATATCATATCTTATTTTTATCCTATCATGTCCAACAAACGAGCTCTAAGAGTCTAACAATTATAAGCCAATAAGGGCCTAACTAAAATTATTAAAAATACAAAAATCTTGGTAAAAATGTCAAACTAAAATAGCCTAATGATTTAGAGAATACATTTTTCAGGCGACAATTTTATTTTATGCACATACAAAAAAGTGAATAAAATTCATTATCTAAAAGAGAGAAAAACGAAAAAGTGATCGTACCCACTTTTTTATATGTACATAAAACAATTGTATTTCCCAATAATTTAACCATGATAACGTTTAAAAGCCGGATAAAATTTACTCTCAATTCTCATAAATTTGGACTACTACATTATGAAAGACTTTTTATTTGCTAACTAACCCTAACCGAAAACCATACTTTATTTTTAATCTTTGTATTTTGTGCCTGGTTAAATAACAATAGTGTTAATGTCCAATGTATTATTTTGGAAGAATAGTGGAACAAAGATGAAGAAGGAAGAAGAGGATGCTGATGCAAACTCCTTATCCCTTTTGAAAGACCTAAAGAAGTGTTGACCCGTGACTAGAACTAGGCTTAGTCGACTAAGTGATATTATCATGGTTGGTCAAATTTATAATAAAGACCATATCGATTAAGTTACAATTGTGGAATTTAAATCCCCTGCCCTTTCAATAAAATACCATCAAGAAAAATAAAAAATAAAATTCAACTCTCTTTTAGTTGGAAGTAGTTCGAAGACAAGACAATTTTCTCTTGTTAAAAATCCAATGTTGAGAGACACAGTAAATGAGACTCGAATTAAAAATCTGCTATCACCATTTCGAATTTTTAGGAAAACATTTTGTATTCATTTTGTTGGGGATGAGAGGGAGGAGACATCATAGAATGACAAAGCAAAGAAACTGCAGAAGATCCAAATACAAGACAAACAAGGAAGTTCCTAGTTCTCATGCCATACTTCGGGTTCCGTTCCATTCTCAGTCCATCATCGTGTACTTTTCACTTGTTGCTACAGAATGAATAGTTACTCAGGTAGAAATTTAAGCCCAAAGACCATCTTTCTGAAAATCAAGGCAAAATTAACGAAGGGTCTTTTTTTCTTATCTTGCTGAATTTTTTTTATTTTATATCACTTATTATAATTATAATTATGTATTACAAAAATTATTTAATTATAATATTAAAATTATTTTTTTATCTCTTTCCACATCAGCCAATAATTTCTGAATAGAAAAAAAAAGAACAATGATCAAAGTGTCACATTTTTTACAAAAAATTATCTGAATGCCACACTTTACAAAAAAAAAAATTCAAAATGTCACATCACCTAACTCGCTATAACACCTGGCGAGTTAGGTGTTAACACGTGGCAGAAGGTATGGTCACGTAAGTTACTAAGCAGCATAGCATGTTTAGTCGGCTTCTCTGACACATTGCACTATGCAACATAGCATGCTTAGTCATCTTTCTGACACTTGGCAAACGTGTTATGCTATGCTACATAGCATGTTATGGGTGTGTCATGAAATTAATTAATGCTTCTAAAATAAATAAAGTTAATTATTTTAGTTTAATTCAATCTATATTAGTTTAAATTTTTTTTAGGAATGTTAATTAATTTCATTTAATTCAGCTTAAGTTATGTTACATTTTTTTGAACTATTTTATTTAATTATTGATGAATTAAATGTAATTTATATTTGTTAACTATTTCAGTTTAATTTCGTCTATATTAATTTAAATTATTTTATAACTATTAATTAATTATTTTTAGGAATGTTAATTAATTTCATTTGATTTAGTTTAAGTTAAGTTAATTTTTTTTGAACCGTTAGGTAATGTAATTTAATTTAAGAGTGTTAATGAATTTAATGAAATTTATGTTTGTTAATTATTTTAATTTAATTTTATATTAATTTAAATTATTTTATGACACACACATAACTTGACGTTTGCCACGTGTCAGAAACTGACTAAACATGCTATGCTGCATAGCATATTTGATGTCACTTAATCTTGTTGCACTGTACATCGGTCACATTATCTTGTTGCACTGTACATCGGTTTACATGGCCATGCACCTTCTAACACGTGTCAACATCTACCTTGCCAGATGTTGTAGCGAATTAGATAACGTGACATTTTGAAAAAAAAGTTTACAAAACATGACATTCAGATAATTTTTTACAAAAAAATATAGCACTTTGGTCGTTGTCTAAAAAAAAAAATTAACTTTAATATTATAAGTTATAATTATAACTATGTACTTAGAACGCAAACCACTAACAATGATAATTATGAAAACACAACCACTACCATCCCCACAATCCCTAGTTCACGGGATACTACAATTTCATGTTGGATACTACAGGCATCAACCATAGAAGGCCAATTACTCCAGTCACCACCAGGAATGCATCGCATAACGCAGACATAAGTTGCGTAAAAAACATTACTGCACCCTACTATATTAATCAAATATCTAGGCTTGAGAAGAAATAGACGAGTAAAAAATTTTATTAAAGAAATGACTTTCATGCTAAATTCAACATTAAAAAGTTAAGTGGTTCGAATTCAAACCACATTAATACATTATAATCTCTTACAAATCCCCCGCATAGAGTTTGTTCAAATTCTCTAAATTCAAGAGGATGCCACTTCTATAAGACTATAACCAAGAGAGAAATCAATCAGACGCAGTAAATTTCATTTTCTATCATCAAATAAGAACAGAGAGGAAACTTTTGTTTTCCTCCCTGCCATGATCATGCGCACTTAGCAAAATAAAAACCTTTGAGAATAAACAAGTGTTATGTTTTTAGCCTTTATAACAAAATATCGACAGGTAGACCATCTTTTCCTTGTATGTGTCGCGAAGCACATGCATCCGTGACACATGAAATGCCGCTAGTAGGTGTTGACATGTGACACTTGTTAAAGCACAAGTCCACCTTTTTTCCCATTCACCAACATCAAAACGTACTTTTTGTCCATGAATTCTATCTTACGCTTTCAAACCAACAAAATAATCATAAATAATTAAAGCAAAAAGGAAACCAAACAAAAAAAACACAAAAGTAGAACACTCCACTACAGCTGTCACAGGCTCATGTTTACAGACACCAAAACACGACAAAAACCTGTTTCTTCAACGAGTTCACTCCCTCCCTCTCTTCCTCGCTCAGATCCCGCGTCTCACGCACGCAACAAAATCAATCTATAGTCATCAAATTATAGCATAATCCCTTCACATAACAAGGGGATAAGCTCTATCTCACTCGTTATTTATGATTCTCAAATTTGAATCCAAGAAGCAACCAACAATTTAGTTAAGCAAATACGAAGAATAAAAAACTATTAAACAAATGCAAATAAATGATCCATAATCAAAGCGATAATAATAATAATAAATAATAATGATAATAGTAGTCTGAGAGAGTCAAGCTATCCGAATCAAACCCTAACAGAAAACAAAAGACCTCCTAGCAATCACTATCAAAATCATCATCATCGTCCACCACTAAATAATCGTAATCACAATCTGAAAATATTAAAATCGAAATAAACAAATAATACTAATGTTCATTGTCTCTTAACTCCAACCGAACATAACCTCGTACTCATAATAATACTAATAAAATTATAAAACCCTAACTACCGACAACGCCACGCATCAGATCTACATCAGCAACGCCACGGCGGCGACGGCGGCTACAGATCCACCGACGGCGACTCTGAGGAAGGCGGCGCCGCTATTAGCCGGTGGAGAAGAGGGAGACTCCGCTGGACCTTCGCTGGCGGCGGGTCCGGAAACAGGGGAGAGAGTGGGAGAGCCGGTGGGAACGGCAGGAGCCGGAGGAGATTCGGTGGGAGAAGCAACCGGAGAGGCGGTGGTTGGGGCTGAGGAAGGAGTTGGGGAAGGTGGAGACGATATCTGAGGAGGAGGAGTAGAGTGAGATACGGGAGAGGGAGCGGGTACGGTGGCGGTGGCGGTAGGAGGTGCAGCTTTGGAGGTGGGAGGAGTGGCTTTAGGGGATGAAGGTGGCGTCGGAGAGTTCCTGGGGGTGGCGCCGGGAGAGTGAGCCGGTGGCTGAGAAGGAGATTGACCGAGAGCGGAGGTAGCCAGTAAAGTAAGGAAAAGGAGAAACGCAAACTTGGCCATAGCTTTAAGGCAAAAAGAGAAAGGGTAAGTAAATGTCTAAATGAGAAGAGAAGAGAGAAACAAAAGTAAAAGAGAGGGCAAGAGTGTGTATATATATAGGAAAAGGGGACTGTTCGTGTCAATCAGCGACGAATATAATATGATAACAAGAGGAGGGGAAAATAAAATAATAATAATAATATGGACTTGATTTATCACATTTTAAAATACAATCTTCAATATTTTGTTTCCTTTCATATACTTATATTCTATCAAATACTAATTGCTAATGGTTGTCATTTGTGTAGCTTGATAATCGGATGAATGAGTGAATGTTATAAGGGGTTTGATTTTTTTATGTTAAATAAGAATTCAATTCTTATGTTGTAGAGATAAAAAACATGTGGGGCCCATGTGTTAGAAAAAATTATATGTAGGATCCATGTCAGCACAGAAATCGAAAGGTGTGGAGGAAAATTTGAATTCTCATGTCAAATGAGAATTATAAAACCCATGTTATAATATATGTATTCTATCAAATATCCTTATATTCTCTCAAATATATGTATAAAACATAACTTTAATAATGGAAATGATTTATATTCGACAATAAAATGTTATGAATAGTTTTGTAATTATGATTTTTTTTTGTGATAATTATGACAGATTTTTTTTTTTCTTTTACTAGATGAATCATGATAAAATAAATTATAACTGTTATGGATCTGCCATAAAAATCCATATTCTAAAGGGCTCAAAAGTCAAAAAAATAAGATTTTTTTTTTAATTATACTAATCCTAATCGAATAGCTATAGATCAAGCATTGGACCCTCAAAAATTCATCAAAGGTTCAAAAATTTTCTACCCACAAATAATCTCTTATTTGTTTTATAAATAAGAGATAAAATCTATATGACACACTCTCTCGTTGCCCCACATCTTGCCTATGCTATTTTCTTATTGTGTACGATAATTCATTAGTCTCTAAAGTATCTTTCACATAGATACAGAGCACACAAATCCAATAAAAAGATATCAATAATGAGATTGGACATAGCTAATCCTTCAAGAATGAAACAATAAGAAAAATATGTGACATATTATAGATCTGATTTGGTTTAGATTTGTTTTTAAGAAAGATATGTAATAGATTATAAGTCTGATTTGCTTCTAAAATTGGCTAATGCGTATACTGTCAACATCTGTACATAAAATGATAATATTCATTATTTTAGATTTCAACTTAATATATTATAGACTAGTTTTAAACTTAAGAGGTGAAATATAAAAAAATATATATATATATATATATATAAATAATCTGATGTAATTTTCCTTAGTGTAGTATAACGATCCTAAAATGGTGTGTGTATATACATAGAAAAATATTTCTGCAGTTACTGCAGATAAGTTATCTGCATTTATTTCCAAAACAACGTTGTTTTGAAATTGAAAGATTAAAAAATTATAATTATAAAGACTATAATAATCATAAAATAAATTAAAATTATAAAAATACCATGATTTTCGTCCTAAAACGACGTCGTATTGGACTTACTGCAAATAACTTATCTGCAATGACTGCATAAAAAGCGAACTCATATATATATATATATATATATATATATATATATATATATATATATATATATATAACATTTATCCTGAGATAAACTTATTTCAAGCTATCATTTTTAATTATGTATTATAGGTAGTACATAGTTGTAATGTTAAGTTTTTTTCTCTCTCCACATTAGCAAACAAGTTTTGAAAAGTGACTGGGGATAGAGAGAAAAAATAATTTTAATGTTATAAGTTATAACTATCTACTACCTGTAATACATAGTTAAAAAGTATATCTTGAGATAATTTATCTCAAGTGACAGGAGAAATGTTTTATATATATATAGGGTTTAGCAGATATACAGTGACTGCACCTAAGGATTGGTGCAGTGATATAAAACTACATCATTTTATAGTGTGAAAGCATTAAATATGGGGAATCATAACCATACAAAGATAGAAATAAATATAAAACATTAAATATAAGGAATCATAACCATACAAAGGTGGAAATAAATATAATATTCTATTTTCTACAATTAATTCTAAACGCAAACTTTCTTTATTCCACACAAAATGACATAGTTTCTATGTGACTGCACCAATACTTATATACAGTCACATTACAAATCATTTTGTTATATATATATATATATATATATATATATATATATATATATATATGAAAAAGTATTTCTACAGACTACAGTCATTTTAGATAACATTATCTATAACTATCTTTTTTTAATTAAGTCTGACCAGTAAGACATAGTTATAACAATAAAGTTATTCTTTTTTCTCTCTCCTAAGACATTGTCGGCTGACATGGCAAAGAGAGAAAATGCAATTTTTTTGTCTTACTGGTCAAACTTAGTTAAAAAATGTAGTTGTAGACAAATTTATCTAAAGTGGCTGTAGAAATATTTAACCCCCCCTCCCCACACACACATATATATATATGGGTTCGTTTTTTTTTTTGCAGATAAGTTGTCTGCAGTAAATCCAATACGACGTCATTTTGGGACGAAAATCATGATATTTTTATAATTTTAATTTATTTAAGGGTTATTACAGTCTTTTTAATTATAATTACTTAATTTTTCAATCTCAAAACGACGTCATTTTAGGAGTAAATGCAGATAACGTATCTACAGTAATTGCAGAAATATTTTTTTGTATTCATATATATATATATATATATAGGATTCATTTTTTCTGCAGTCAATGTAGATAACTTACCTACATTGATCCCAAAATGACGTCGTTTTGGGGTAGAAATCAAGGTATTTTTATAATTATAATTTATTTAAGTGTTATAATAGTTTTTCTCATTTAATTTTTTAACTCAAAATGACGTCATTTTAGGAGTGCATGTAAGTAAGTTATCTACATTCACTGTAGAAATATTAAAGTCATATATATAAGTATTGTATCGATTAAAAATGATAATATTATATAGTATTCAATAAATTGGGAAAAGTTTAGGCTAGTAGTATGGGTTTAGGGAGTTTCCACTTAGTTACGTTGGCCTAGCAATAGTGAAAGAGAGGAGGATGTTGCAAATAAGAGTGGTGTGAAGAGTGTCTTACATCCGGAAGACAAGGCATCAAGAGCACAGACCATTATTTAAATTAAAAAATTAGAAGAATAAAAATTAGTTTTTAAAATTTAAGATCAGGTAATTATATATGCACAAGGAATTGTGATTAAGAAAAACACGACACATTATTATATTGAAGAAAAACAGAATGAAAATGAAAAAAGATCAAAACAATTAACAACATGAATAAAATGAAAGATAGGAAAACAAATATGATATTCACATGATATATATATATATATATATATATATATATATATATATATATATATATATATATATATATGAATAATTTTCTCATTTTATATGAAAATATTTTTTCATATTACACACAATTAAAAGAAGGATCTCACCTTATTTTTTTGTCTATTCACTTTTTTGTGGATCTTACTCATGTATATGTATTGTGTATGTAGCATGAGAAAATTTTCTCATGTAAAATAAGAAAATTAATCCTATATATATATATATATAGAGAGAGAGAGAGAGAGAGAGAGAGAGAGGGAAAGGTAGGTTCCTTTGACACCAGTGTCAAATTTGAAATTTGACACTTCATCTGATAGTCGTTAGATAAAAAATGATCAATGGTGTCATATGCTTACAAATCAGAGTTGTTGATCTTTTTTGATCTAACGGCTCTCAGATAAGGTGTCAAATTTCAAATTTGACACTGGCGTCAAAGGATCATACCTCATGCATATATGTATATATATGGCTTATATATTCTCATATAACATGAGAAGGGGAATCTAATCTATAGACTAATGTTGTGACAATCGGACCGAACCGGCTGGGTCGACCCGAAATCATGTGAATCGATCATCTGACCAGTCCGATTATCATATTGGATCGGTCCAGTACCAGACCCGGTTGATTTTGGTGAAAATCGGTGACCCATGCCGGGTTTTAAAAAAAAAATATTTCCAAAAAAAAAATCATAATTGACATATTTGAGTGATCTGTTACTTATTGTCTTACATAAGTTATGTACCTACAAACTTATATTATCTCAATTATGCACTATGTAGAAAATTTTGATTTGCTTTATAGTTAAAGATGTCATTTACTGAACCTGAAACGCCAAAATCACAAGCATTATATGTTTATTTGATCCTTTACTCGACAATAATGTATAATTTATTATTTTTTATATTAAAATATGTAGAATTTATATTATTTTTTTTGCTATTTGAGTAATTTGTAATTTTTTTAATATAAATTATAGATTTATATATAATCACCGGGTCATGCGGTTCAACCAGTGACCCGGTACCTCAACCAGGTCATTAACCGGACCGATTTTAATAACATTGCTATATACATATGATGGTGGGGTTCATCACCTAAAAAAGTAAAAAGGTTGCACAATTAACGAAGGATGTGTAGGAGGAAAAACTAATCTCATGGAACATGAGAATAATTCCCCCCTACACATATATATCTATATGATAGGATCCTTTGACACCGGTGTCAAACTTTAAAATTTGATATCAAATCCTAATCGTTGATTTCCGTCAATCAACGGTTATCATTTATTGAGAATCAAACTTATTAATTAATTATTAATTTTCAATGAATAATAATCGTTGATTGGCGGAAATCAACAGTTAGGATTTGATGTCAAATTTAAAGTTTGACACTTTATCTGAGAGCCATTAGATCAAAAAAGATCAACGACTCTGATTTGTAAGTATGTGACACCATGGATTTTTATATTTAACGACTTTCAGATGAGGTGTCAAACTTTAAATTTGACACTGGTGTCAAAGGATCCTACCTCTCTTTCTTTCTCTCTCTCTCTCTCTCTCTCTATATATATATATATATATATATATATATATATATATATATATATAT